GGCTCCGGATAATTTGATTGGCACGCGGTCCGCAACAAACACAATGATGTGATTGGCATTCCGTACCAAGTTTCCTCCGATCGCCAAATTCGGCGGTAATGGAATGGCAATGCAATGTCATATTGACAGGATGAAAGAGCATGGGTCCATACGGATAGTCCCGGCCGCGTGGCCGATAGCTTGTCGCCTCCGAACACTTGTACTGATATAAGTTATGCAAGTATGACGCCTGTGACGTTCTCACATGTACCGAAGACAAATTATGATATCGGTTTATATATACAAGGAGGAGGGGGGGATGAGGGTGGGTGGGAGGGCTCCTCAGCTCCTTGGACGGGGTCGAGAGCTCATACAGTGCGCCAGCACCGTCTTGCAAAGGATGGGGTCGAGAGCCATCGCCGCCGGCACCGTCATTCAGTCCAGCACAGAAACGACGACAGCGATACGCGCCGGCCCTTTTTGCGGCTTGCGAATCGCCAGAGCACCATTTCCGACGGCTGGGACAATGCCGGTCTCTCTTCTTTGATGTCCTCCTCCTCCTCCTCCTCCTCCTCCCTTCCTCCATAAGGGGTTGGGTTGGAAGGGAAGGGGGTGTTTTGAGACGGCACCTGCATATGATTACATGTATTACAAGGATGGGAGACGCTGTCGGGTGGGCAAGCGCACCTTTTTGCCTCTGAGCCGAAACCCTCCGTAGAAGGCGGAGAGCGGCCTTTCGGAGCGTTTGGGGAAGCTCGAACACTTTACGCTGTCATGCAGCGGCCCCTCCCCGACTACACAAGGCCCCTCACCCAAATCCGCAAGTGCAAATCTTACGCAGCAGTCGGAGGAACTACGGTGAGAAATGTGGACGCCACCGGCCCTGCCTACCACGAGCCTCCAATCAATTCTCATCGTCCGCGCACTCCCTGCTCAGCTGCTACCCTTTCTCCCTGCTGCCTGGCGAAGGACGAGGGAGGAGAGGAGGCAGGCAAACGACGACGACGACGACGACGACGACGACGACGACGACAGGGAGCACCGACTCCCAAACAGCGCTTGCACTACATCGCGCGGATCCTGTCTGGGGTCCACACCACGGCCCGATTCCCAAACAATGCTTGCACCAGGGCGGGCCCTGTCTGGGGTCCGCGGTCGCCCTGTTTTTTCTCAGGGCTCTCTTTGGGACTGTCGCACTCGTGATTTGCCCAGGCCTAACTCCCAACGCGCCCCCACTTGCAGGGCTGGGCATTCACGGTTCCGCGCTACCGCGTCGCATCGCCCCAACGCGCGCCCCTTACCGGGCGACGCTAAGATCTGATGCAGCGGAGCTGCTCGAACAAGAAAATCTCGTGTATCCTGGACAAACGACGTTCCTCCCTCCTCGCCGGAGGATTCCGGCTGGGGCCATTGCGGAACGCCGCCAGAGTTTTTACCCCATCAGCGCTCGCACCTGACGAATATGTCTACGTAATCGCCAGGCGCGCCTCTAATCGCCTCTACTGGCGCCCGCGACTGCGCCCACCAAAAAGAGCAGCGCGTGCGGCGCGGCTCGTCTTCGGACTGACGGTGCATCATCATGCTGCTCCCGTTCAGCACCATATCTTCGTCTGGCGTGGCGCGGCCCGCTGTTAACGCCTGCGTTACCGCAGGCGCCGCAGCCGCAGCCGAGGGGGCGCGCGACTCCGGGACTTCAAAATCCCGCGCCGGCGTGAACCCATCTCGGACACGCCCTACTATATCATACTTGAGGAGCAATTCAGTTACACAGCGCGCGCGATCGTAGCGCACGGGCATGCCCGAGCCTGGGCCCCACCTGCCCAATGTCCGGCGTTCTTCCATTTGCAAGCGAAGCTGGCCGGCAAACGTCGGGAAGAAAAACCTGGGGCTGTGCAGCGACCACCCGGCGTTGTTCGCAACGCCGCCAAATGCGCGCAGCACCCGCCTCATGACATTCAGCGCGCCAGAATATTTCTCTGGACGCACTGGGCTCAGAACGACTATCTTGCCAGACTCCACCGCCATCGCTGGGACGATAAAGTCAGCTGCACCAAGGTCCACGTAGCCAGCCACGGCGGCGTGAAACTGCCCGCCCCAGTCGCGCCCTTGCCAATCCTTCCGCGGGGCGGCCCAAGGGATTCTGCCGACCTTCTTCTTTGACCTCCAAAATTCTGCGTACAATGCGTCCCGCGACAACTTGCAGGACGTGGATCTCTGTAGGTCCGCCCAACGCGAACAGCCAAACGTCAGGGCCAGCACAAGCCCAAGCGCGCCCTTTCGCCTCTGAGTCGAAACCCTCCGTAGAAGGCGGAGAGCGGCCTTTCGGAGCGTTTGGGGAAGCTCGAACACTTTACGCTGTCCTGCAGCGGCCCCTCCCCGACTACACAAGGCCCCTCACCCAAATCCGCAAGTGCAAGTCTTACGCAACAGTCGGAGGTACTACGGTGAGAAATGTGGACGTCACCGGCCCTGCCTACCACAAGCCTCCAATCAAGATGATGATGATGATGCTGATGATGATGATGATGATGATGAGGAGGAGGAGGAGGAGGAGGAGGAGAAGGAGAAGGAGGAGGAGGAGGAGGAGGATCGAAGTGTCTGGATGGTGCGAAAAATATTAGGATGTATCGTTGGTCCCCCCTCGGCCCCTGGAACAGGGAGGGAGGGAGGGAGGGGCGAGGGTGGCCACACGAAGGAGGCGCAAGACGGGGCCAGCGCGCAGGGCGCCTGCTCACTGCTGGACCCCCCCCCCCTGCAAATCTGCCCCCCCCTCTTGGCCGGGAGGTCCGGCAGGAACGGCGCCCTGCTTGGGGTGCTCTGCTCTTCTGCTCGGCGCCGATTGGGATTCGTTGGAATGGCTGGAGGAGGAGGGGGGGGGAGGAGGAGGAGGGGGAGGAGGGGGAGGAGGGGGAGGAGGAGGGGGAGGAGAAGGAGAAGGAGGAGGAGGAGGAGCAGCAGCAGCAGAAGCAGCAGCAGACGGCCCTTGCGGGCTCTTCCTCACCATTCTCTTTTTGCACCTCTTCTCGTGTTCGGAGTCTGCTGTGAATGTGCTGCTCGTCTGTAGGGCTGCGAGCACGCGTCATGATCCGACATCGTCCCCCCGGGCACGCTGCCAAGTGCTGCCTGGCATGTTCCTGCTATCTTCGAAGGGACCCCCCCGCCTCCCAGTAGCGGACATGCCCGAGCATGGTCCCCACCCCCCGAGGCCACGATCCCTCGTAACAGAAACTGTGGAGCCGAGCTCCCGAGGCCACGATCGCTTCCAAGACGGCCTGGGCAGGAAGCAAGGTCGCCGAGAGGGCCCAAAGATGCCTCCAAGACGGCCCACGATGGCCCCAAGGCGTCCCAGGATGGTTTCAAGACGGCCTAAGATGCCTCCAAGAGGGCCGCAAACACTCCCCTACAGGGCCCGACGGCGCAACACTTGTCAATATCATTTTGATGGTTGACGTTTTGTCGCATATTCTCGTTTTGTAGCTTCTGCCAACTCATGATGTCCTGAGGAAGTTTCCAATATGGCCCCGAGACAGCCAGAAAGCCTCCCTAAGATGGTCCCAAGACGGCAAGGCTCCAGCGGATGCCATGCCCCAGGCTGGGGCCAGTACGCCCGACGCCGCAACGGCGGCGTCAGCCGCTGAACTACTCCTTCAGCAAGTCGGACTCGCCGTCGACCCGCCCGCTGTACTCGGAGCTCCCTGTGTGCCCCCCTTCTTGGCGCCCTGCCTGCGCGCTGCAGGCTTCTTCTTGGGCCCGCTCTCTGGCGGCGCCTCTCCGAGCGGCACGGCGCTCCCAGGAGGCCTCCGAGACGGCCCCGAGGCGGCACAAGAAGGGCCTCCGGAGAGGCTCAAGACGGCTTGAAAAGGCCCTTCGACGGCTCAGGACAGCGCCAGGACGGCCGTTCGTTGGCCCCTAAGACACCCCCAATGCAGCCAAGAAGGCCAAGACGGCCCACAAGAGCGTCAAGACTGCCGAAGCCTCAACAAGGCCCAAGAGGGCCCCAAACGGCCCCATGGACCCACAAGACTGCCCCATTTTCGGGAGCCCAAGACAGCCCCAAGACGGCCCAAATGAATTCCACGAGTGCCTCAGGGAAGTGAAGACGAAAGGTGCCACATGTGGCACAACTGACGGCCTTCCTCTTCCGCCTCCTTCTTCCTCCTTCTCCTCCTCTTCTTTTTCCTCCTCCTCATCATGGTCGTCACCATCATGATGATGATGATCATCATCATCAGCAGCAGCATCAGCATAATCATAACCACCACCATCATCATCATCATCATCATCATCATCATCATCACCATCATCACCACCATCATCATCACCATCAGCATCACCATCAGCATCATCATAATCGTCATCATCATCGTCATCATCATCACCACCACCATCGTCACCACCAGCACCACCACCATCATACCCATCATCATCATCATCATCATCATCATCATCATCATCATCATCATCACCATCACCATCACCATCACCATCACCATCATCATCATCGTCGTCATCGTCATCGTCATCGTCACCGTCATCATCATCGTCATCATCGTCGTCGTCGTCATCATCATCATGCTCGGGGACGCGAGGGCCTCCCGCCCTCCCTCGAGCGCTCGCCCTCCCTCGAATGCTGGGCCGGCACGGTGGCGGGACTTGCCGCAGGCAGTGGGCACTTACGACTCGATCGTCGGCGCGTTGCAGACGCGAGGGGGAGGAGGCGGAGGAGGAGGGGGAGGAGGGGAAGGGGAAGGAGGAGGAGGAGGAGGAGGAGGAGGAGGAGGAGGAGAAGGACGAAGAAGAGGAGGAGTGAGAGGAGGGGGAGGAGGGGGAGGAGAGTGAGGGAGAGGAGGGGCAGCTGCTCACCTACGTCCAGGGCGGCTGAAGGCAGCAGCACGGCCGTCCAACCCTGCTCCACAAGCCTGGAGGTCACATCGTCCCGGCGTTGCACCCCCGAAGGGTTGGACCCCGGAGGTTTTTCTACACTCAGGCTTGCCTGCAGGAGTCCTGGCTCAAGCCATACAGCTAGTGCGCTTGTCCACTAAGCCACTTGTGTTGCCCTTGCACGGTCAAACTATGCGCATGGCTTCCTCCGTATGCGCGTGCCTTCCTCGGCTTTCCGCGTGCCTTCCTCGGCTTTCCGCGTGGCTCCCTCGTATCCGCATGACCCCCTCGTATCCGCATGTCTTCCTTGTATTCGCATGGCTTCATCGTATCCGCATGGCTTCTCATTGCGAGTCTCATAGGTTAGAGTGAGCAGAACAGAGCAGAGCAGAGGAGAGTATATTGGAGTAGAATAGAAAGGGAGCATAATAGAGTAGAGTAGAGTAGAAGTGAGTAGAGTATAAGAAACCATAGTAGAGTAGACTCGACCATGATAGGGTAGACTAGAGTAGGGTAGAATCGAGCAGAGTATGGTAGATAGTAGAGCAGAGACGGGTTATAACTCACTAGAGAATAATTTAGTGGAGTAGAGTAGCGTAGAGAACAGAGGAGTATAGTATGGTAGTGTTAAATCGAGTAACATAGAGTAGACTAGGGTAGATTAGGATATAATAGAGTAGATCAAAGTCGAAAAGAGTAGGGTAGATGGTCGAGTAGAGTGGGGTGTAATGGAGTTGAATAGAATGAAATAAAGTAGAAGAGGATAGAGAAGAGTGGAATGCAGTCCAAAATAGAGTCCGGTCCAATCCTGTCCAATCTAATCCAGGGCGGTCCTGTCCAGTCCACTCCAGCCCAGTCCCGTCCTGCCCAGTCCAGAACAATGCAGTCCAGCCCACTCCAGCCCAGCCCAAACCACCCCAGTCTAGCCCAGTCCACAAGTCCAGTTGAGTCCACAGCAGTCGGGTCCAGTCCAGTCTAGTCCAGTCCAGTATATCCCAACACAAGTCCAATCCAGTCCAGTCTATCCAGTCCAGGCCAGCCTAGCCCACCCCTACCCCTGTCTAGTCTACTCCTGCCTAGTTTACTTCAGTCCACTCCAGTTCACTTCATTTCAACCGTCTGGTCTATTCGGAGTCTGCGCTCGCTGATCTTTCCGCAGCCTGGACCCCTGGAGGTCTGGACCACTTCCCCAGGTCCGGCCCTCATCCAGAGCAGCTTCTTGTCGGCCCCGCGGCTCGGTAAGGGGCAACGGCAACAAAAGCTGTTTTTTATCTGCGGGGCGAGAGCGAACCTCTTCCGCTAAAAGCTAGGCGGGCTACGCACAACTTTAATTAGGGAGACAGGGCACAGGAAGGCGGGCCGGCAACAAAAACAGTCCACCGTGGCTTTTCGGCGACGACAGGAGGTGTGGGGGTCAGCATGGGCGCTGCCCGGGTGCTGCTGCCGACATGGGTCCATCAGGACAAGCACCGGCGGCCGAGTCTTCCAGGGCGGCTCCACCATGGACCATGGAACTGGGCCCACCAGCGGGGTCAAGACACCGGACCCGTCCTCATCGTCCCCTTCCTCTTGCTCCCCCTCCTCCTCCTCCTCCTCATCCTCCTCCTCATCCTATTCATCCTCCTCCTCCACCTCCTCCATCCCTCCTCCTCTGCATCTTCCTCTCTCCTCCTCCTTCCCCTCCTCCTCCACCTCCTCCCCCCCTGCTCCTCCACGTCCTCCTCCTCCTCCTCCTCCTCCTCCTCGAGAAGCGCTCCTGGAGGATCAGGTTCAGCTGCTCGCTCGCCGTCAAGCGCGCGTGGAGCGCGTCGTAGGCGGACATCTGCTGCTGGTAGTCGGCCTCCCTCTGCGCCTGAGCCTCCGCAAGCTTCGTCTCGGCCTCCGCCCTGCGGGCGTGCTCATCGAGCTCCTCCTCCTCCTCCTCTTCCTCCTCCTCCTGCTCCTCCTGCTCCTCCTGCTCCTCCGCCTCCTCCTCCTCCTTCTCCTCGTCCTCCTCCTCCTCCACCTCCTCCTCCTCCTCCCTCCATCTTCATCTCCTCGTCCCCCTCCGCATCACCACCAGCAGCATCATCATCATCATCATCATCATCAGCATCATCATCACCATCATCATCACATGATAATCATCAACATCAATATCACCATCACCACCACCACCAACATGATGATTATCATCTTCAGCATTATCAACATCATCATCACCATCATCATCATCGTCATCGTAAGCACCATCATCATCATCATCATCATCATCAGCATCAGCATGATCATCAGCTATCATCATCACCATCACAATCACTATCACCATGGCAATGGCCATGACCATTATCATATTCCTCATCATCCTCCTCCACGTCCTCACCCTCATCACCATCAACATCACCAGTACCATCATTCGTCATCATCAACAGCATCAGCATCAGCATAATCATCAGCAGCATCAGCATCATAATCATAATCATCATTCTCACCACCATCACCATCACCATCAGCATCATCAGCAGCGGCATCAATATCATCATCATCACCACCGACATCATCATCATCATCATCATCATCAGCATCATCATCATCAGCATCACAACCATGATCCTCATCATGGTTGTCGTCGTCGTCCTGGTCGTCGTCTCCAGCGTCGTCGGCGTCAGCATCAGCATCAGCATCAGCATCAACATCAGCATCATCATCATCATCATCATCATCATCATCATCATCATCATCATCATTGTCATCATCATCATCATCATCATCATCATCATCATCATCGCCACCATCACCATCATCGCAATCATCACCAGCATCACCACCATCACCAAAATCACCATCGCCGCCACCATCATCTTCATCAACTTTATCATCTTCAGCAATCACCAATCATCAATCACCATCATTTTCTCCTCTTCCTGATCCTCGGGATTTCTAGATCGACGATTTGTGCTTTGGGTAATTTTTGTGCTCCTGGCTGCCGCTGGGTACGTACTTCCTTGAACTTTATGGAACGTCCTTGCCGCTGTTCTTATGGCTCAAAACATGGCGGGCAATTTGTTTCAACACGGAACTCCCGCATAAAACTGCGGGTCCATGGCGCGCTCGAAATTCAAGGGGCGCGTCTCGCGCAGTGAAACATTACCTGGCGAAGAACCCAACAATATGCAGTTGTGAGTGCCTCATCGTGGGTACTGCTTTCGGTGGAGCTCTCTACGGGGCCACGAAGCGCGTGAGTGGTGTGCCGAAACGGGCGTGACGCCCACATGCGACCAGTGCCCCTGGGGCCTTCGGTGGAGCTGCCTATTGGGCCACGAAGCGCATGAGGGGTGTGCCGAAACGGGTGGACGCCCACATGCGAACTGTGCCACTGAAGCCTCAGGTTGGGCTCCCAATGTGGCCACGTAACGTGTGAATGGTGTGCTGACACAGGCGTGACGCACACATGCGAACGCTGCCACTGGGGCCTTAGGTGGAGCTCCCTACGGAGCCACGAAACGTGTGAGGGGTGTGCGAAACGGGCGTGACGCCCACATGCGACCAGTGCCCACGGGGCCTTCGATGGCGCTTCCTATGGGCCACGAAGTGCGTGAGGGGTGATAGAGCGCGTTTCGTGGGCGCTTGCCTTGGGAACATTCGGCGGCGCGTTTCGAACTAGGGGGTGGGCCCCCGCCCAAACAAGCGGCGCCGTCGATCAGAACCAGGGGGACTCCCCTCCCCCCTAACCCTCCCCCCTCCCGAACCCCCTCCCCCGCTCCCTTCCAAGGGATCCAACCCCCCCCCACCCCGGCGCTGGCGCCGGCGCGGGCGCTGGCAGCCGCCAGCAACGCCGACGGCGGGGACGACGATGACCAAAGAGGGGCCCCCAGGAGGGGGGAGGGGTTCAAAATCATCCCACCCCTCGCGCCGGGGCGGGCGCTGGCGGCGGCCAGCAGCGCCGACGGCGGGGACGCAGCGACGATGACCAGAGAGGGCCCAGAGGCCGCAGAGGGCTCTGCCACCACCACCACCACAAGCTGCCACCACCACCACAAACCACCACACCATTACCACGACATCACCACCACCGCCACCACCCACCACAACCCGCCACCACCACCACCAACACCACCACCACAAACGACCACACAACCACCACCACCACCACCACCACCACCACCACCACCACCACCACCACCACCACCACCACCCACCACACCACGCACCACGCACCACCCACCACCCACCACCCACCACCCACCACCCACCACCCACCACCCACCCCCACCACCCACCATCATCACCAGCACCACTACAGCAGCAGCACCACCACCAACACCACAGCCCACCACCACCACCACAAACCACCACGCCACCCCACCCACCACAACGCCACCACCCGACCACCACCACCACCACCTCAACCCACCACCACCACCATCGCCACCACACAACAACCACCACCACAGCCACGACCACCACCACAACAGATCACCACCACCACCACCACTAATACAACAACCCACCACAACTACCACCACCACCACCACAATCTACCACACCACCACCACCGCCACAACCACCACCACTACTACCAGCAGCATAAAACACCACCACCACCACAAACCACCACACCATCACCACCACCACCACCACCACCGCCACTACCACCAGCACCACCTCCACCAAGCCCCACCACCACCACCGCCACCACCACCACAAACCACTACACCACAACCACCACCACCAGGGCCATCACCACCACCACCACCACCCATCACCACCACCACCACCACCACCACGCATCACCATACCACCACCACCACCATCAAGTCCACCAAACCACCAAACCACCACCACCACAACCACCACCACCGCCACCACCACCACCACAACCCACCACCATCACAAACCACCACCCCACCACCACCACAAACCACCACCACCACCACCATAGCCACCACCACCACCAACAACCACAACAACCACCACCTCAAAGGCCTCAACAACAAACCACCACCACCACCACATTCACCACCACCGCCACCACCACCACCACAACCCACCACCACAACCACTACCGCCGTCACAACCACCACGACAAACCACCACACCACCACCGCCACAACCACCACCGCCTTAACCTACACCCGCCACAACTACCACCACCACCACCAGAAACCACTGCACCACCACCACCACAACCACCGCCACCACCACAACCTGCCACCACAACCACCACAACAACCACCACCACCACCAACCCTCACACCACCACCACCACCACCACCACCACCACCACCACCACCACCACCACCACCACCGCCACAACCACCACCGCCACCACCACCACAGCCCACCACCACTACCACTATCTCAGAGAGGCCCTAAGAGACGAGGCCCTAAGAGACGCCCAAGAGGCGCCCAGGAGGCTTCACAAATGCAATTCGGAGGCCCCCGAGAGCCCTCCGACGCGACCCCAAGAGGCATCCATTAGGACTCTGTCCCAAAACCAAGGCACGGTGGCGGAGCGTCATCGTCGTCGTCGTCGTCGCCGTCGTCCTCATCGACGCTCCCCGCCGCCGCCGCCCGCCGCCGCAGGCGCCAGCGCCGGCCCAGAAAAGGAAGTCGTCGTCTTCATCGACGCTCCCCGCCGCCGCCGCCAGCCGCCGCTGACGCCAGCGCCGGCCCGAGGAGAGGGATAGAGGAGCAGTCGGGGAGGAGGGGGGGTGTTCGAACCGCCCCCTCCGTCACGGGAGGGGGGGGGAGGGAGGGCGGTTCCAACCCCCCCCTCCAAGCTACCACAGAACGCGCTCTTTCAAACGGGTGGACGCCCACCCACATGCGAACTGTGCCTCTAAGGCCTCTGGCTGAGCTCCCTAAGGGGCCACGAAGAGTGTGAAGGGTGTGCCGACACGGGCCGACACGTGCGTGACGCCCACATGCGAACGTCGCCTCTGGGGCCTTAGGCGGAGCTGCTTATGGGGCCACGAAACGTGTGAGGGGTGTGCCGAAACGAGCGTGACGCCCACATGCGTACGTCGCCACTGGGGCCTTCGGTGGGGCTCCCTGTGGGCCACGAAACGTGTGAGGGGTACGCCGAAACGGGCGTGACGCCCACGTGCGACTGGTGCCCCTGGGGCCTTAGGTGGAGCTCCCCTTGGGGCCACGAAGCGCGTGACGGGTGTGCCGATGACGCACACATGCGAACTGTGCCACTGAGGCCTCCGGTGGAGCTCCCTGAGGGGCCACGGCTCCGCCGCCCACCGGCCGCCCGCCCCCACTGCGCCGCGGCGGCCCCCTCCTGGGCGGGCACCCGCGGAGAGCTATACCGCCTGTCATGGCACGCGGCCCTCGGGCCAGGCTCGGGGGAGCACACTCCCGGCAGCTAGGCCGCAGGGCCCACTCTGCACCGCGTGCGATGCAGTCCAGGGCGTGGCCGCAAGACCATCTCGGCCTATCGGGCTGGGCTTCGAGCCCACTCCCCGCGGGTTTGGCGGCCGAACGGCCCGCTCCGCGAAGAGCGCCGGCCTCAGCTGCACGTGGCTCGCCGCTTATCTCACTGCCCGCCTACATCCTGGCACATGCTCTCGAACATGTCACTGCCCAGGTAGTCGTCGCCGCCGCCCGTGTTCCTCCCCTCACGGGCCGGCGCGTCCCCTAAAGCAGTCCCTCGGCGCCCCCAACACGCGCGCGTGCCCGGCGGCGCTGAGGAAGGAGGAGAAGACGCTGAAGCCCCTCTCGGGGGGATGACCTCCCTCGCCCTGCGAAGCAGGGCGGGGACCTCGAAAGCTCTCTTCTCGGTGGGCTCGTGCCGCCGGCCGATGGCGTCTGCTGCCTTCGACGCCACGCCGGGAGTGTGGCTCTCAGGACGTCGGGGCGGAAGGAGCCGTCACCGAGGTCCAGGGTTAAGTCGGGCCTGTCCCCCTCCAGGCCGGTTTTGGACGAATTTTTTTTAAAAAATACCCACAAAATACCCCCAAACGAGGAAGAATAGTCAAAACATAGTCCCCAGACTGTTGTTTTACTATTTTTGAATATTCTTCCTGTAGAGGGACGGGCCCGACGTAAGTCCAGGGCGAGCTCCCGAGCGAGCAGGTCGAGGCCGAACCCTCGGCCTCTGAGCGTCGCGAGGAGCGTCGGGGCCGTGGCGTTGCCGGCGCGGACCTCAAGGCGCACGCGCCCCGTGCACCAGCGGCGCATCCACTGACGCAGCGCCACCACGAGACTGAGAGCCTACCAGAGCTGTTGGCCGTCAGGTGACCCAGTCTCCACTCCGAAGGAGCTGGCGTCCCACTCGGTGATGCGAGTCGCGTGCCACTCCGCAGGAGCCCCGTTCACCACGAGGTACGACCCGAAGCTCCATGGGTAGGCATCCCCAACGATGGGCACGCTCCTGCCGTGGTTGAGGAAGGCCTCCAGACGATAGATACACCATGACGATGGCGCCCGTCTGGGGGCGGATGAAAGCGTGCAGCCATGATAGCGATCCAGCAGTCTGGCGCACCCACACGCAGTTCTTGGGTGCTCGGGGGCCTTCGGCTCCGGCGGTCTGGAGGGCCGCCCAGATCTCGTTGAGGAACGGCCACATCACGTAGATGATCGAGGCCAGGTGCGGCGCGAGCCCAACGAAGGAGCGAAGGGCCGCGACGGCCACCACGTTGGAGCTCATGATGGAGCACAGCATGTCGTCGAACTCTTTGACCTTCTCCTGGGAGATGGTCGCCGTCGCCTTCTCTCGGTCTACGGTGAATCTGCACGCATCAGCCTGTGAGGTTTGGGGCCGCACACGCCGAAGTCCACGTATGGACATGCTTCGATGGTTCAAAATGTGGCCCATGCCCGATACCTGGTCTTCGGGACACTCCGAATCGGGATCAGGCTCCTGGCCTCCCATGGCCTTCACGCACGTGCTGTCATGGTTCTCGATCGACTCTGGGTCCGCCTTCTTGGTGATCACCTTGGACACGTGGTGCACAGCTCGACCATGTCCGGGTTGGCCGCGCACGGCGCCGAGTCCAGGCCCCTCTTCGCTGCCTCCCGAGCCGCCGACGCCGAGGCTTCTGCCGCTGCTCGGGCATCAGCTGCAGCCGGAGCCGCCCGCTGCGAAGCGTGAGCTGTGGACAGCTCGTGCAGGGCCGCCTGAGCTGCCACCTGCGCACGGGAGGGCGCGACGCCGAGCGCCACGCGGCAGATGTGGTCCACAAGCAGGCAGCCTCGCCGCTGCAGCGGCAGCAAGGCTGCAGGAGGCTCCCCGACCTGAATGGGGTCCACGACCTCGGCTGGTGACCTCGGCTTCTGGCATCGACGTCAGCAGGCGGGGATGCGCCTCCCCAGTGGCCTTTGAGCTTCACCAGGAAGGGCACCCCTGGTCTGACCCGAAATTCCGGTCCATGTGATGACCTTGTCGAGGGTGTCCATGGCTGCCACCTCGCCGTCCGACGGCTCCATTGCAGCAGCTCTCGGAGGAGCCCGGGGCGGCAAAGCAGGAGCCCAGGCGTGGGGCCCGAATGCGTACGCGGTGAGTGCTTCTGGAGGGCAGGCCCCCGATCCTAGAGCCAAAATGCCCACGGATCGAGCGCTTGCAAGACCCGCCACCTCCAGGCCACCCCTTCATTGTTACTACCGCATGCTGCTCTACTCCCTCCTCATCCTCCTCCTCCTCCTCCTGCCCCTCCTCCCTCCTCCGCCTCCTCCTCCTCCTCCTCCTCCTCCTCTTCCTCCTCCTCCTCCTCCTCCTCCTCCTCTTCCCTCCTCCCTCCTCTACCCTCCCCTCTTCCCCTCTTCCTCCTCCTCCTCCTCCTCCTCCTCGTCCTCCTCGTCCTCCTCCTCGTCCTCATCCTCGCTCCTCCTCCTCCCTCCTCCTCCTCTCCTCCTCCTCCTCTTCCTCCTCCTCCTGCTCCTCCTCTCCTCCTCCTCCCTCCTCCTCCTCTTCCCTCCGCCCTCTCCTCCTCCCTCCTCTTTCTTCTTCTTCTTCCTCCTCCTCCTCTCTTTCTCCTCCTCCTTCTCTCCCTCTCCACCTCCTTCTCCTCCTCGACCCCCCTCCTCCTCCTTCTCCTCCTCCTCCTCCTCCTCCTCTTCCTCTCCTCCTCCTCCTCCTTGGCCTCCTCTCCCTTCTCATCCCTCTCCATCTCCCTCCCTGGGCGTGGGGCCTGCGAGAGCGCTCCTCGAGCTCCTCCCTTTTGCGCCGGTCGCCGCGCAGGAGGGCCGAGTAGGGCACTATGTCATTGGACATCAGTGAACTTGGAGGAGGGAGGTAGCATGGCGAGAAGCAAGGAGAAGCAAGGAGAAGGAGGAGGAGGAGGAGGAGGAACAGTAGGAGGAGGAACAGGAGGAGGATGAGGAGGAGGAGGAGGAGGAGGGAAGGAGCAGGATGAGGAGGAGGAGGAAGAGGAGGAGGAGGAGGAGGAGGAGAAGGATGAGGAGGAGGGGAGGAGGACCAGGAGGGGGGGAGGCATGGAGACAGGCAGGGAGGCAAAGGTGCAGGCAGGCAGGGAGGAGGGGGGATGAGCAGGGGGAAGATGGTGGCAAATGGTGGCGAGGGGGCGGGGGGACGGTGGGGGATGCGGAAGAGGAGGGCGAGGGAAAGGATGGGGGAGGATGATCGGCAGGCGGATAAAGGGGAAGGAGGTGGCGAAGGGGGGGGTAGGAGACGGAGGAGTAACTAGAAGCAGAAGGAGGAGGGGGATGCTGATGATGATGAGGATTATGTTGATGATGATGGTGATGATGTTGCTGCTGCTGCTGCTGATGATGATGATGCTGCTGATGATGCTGACGATGATACAGATGATGCTGATGCTGGTCATGATGATCATGATGATCTATCTGGATGATGATGCTGATGATGATGCTGATGATGACGGTGCTGATGCTGCCTACAATGATGAGTATGATGATGATACTGATGATGATGCTGGTGACGATGACGACGGTGATGATGACGATGACGATGACGATGACGATGGCGATGACGATGATGATGATGATGATGATGATGAGGAGGATCACGAGGATGATGGATATGAAGATGATGATGTTGATGAACATGATGATGTTGCTGCTGATGCTGATGATCCATATTATGATGCTGAACATGATGAAGATGGTGGAGATGCTGATGATGATGATACTTACGTGTGTTGCTGATGATTTAGTAGTGACGAAAACGACGGCGATGCTGCTTATGCTGATGATGGTGATGATGAGGATGATGAGGATGAGAGCGATGAGGGTCATGAGGATGATGCGCATGAGTACGGGCACGATGATGATGATGATGGTGCTGATTATGCTGCTGTTGTTGATGATGATGACGACGATGATGGTGATGATGAAGATGCTGATGATGATGCTGATGATGCTGGTGATGGTAGTGCTGACGATGCTGATGCTGGTGCTGGTGCTGGTGCTGCTGCTGACGATGAGGATGATAATGAGGGTGAGGCTGACGATGCTGATTACGCTGATGCTGACGATGATGATGCTGATGATGATGATTTTGTGGAAGAGGAGATGGCGCAGCACTCATGAGCATGTTGTATGCTTCTCTTTCGACAGGGGCGAGTTTCGGGGGGAGGAGGAGGAGGAGGAGGAGGAGGAGGAGGAGGAGGAGGAGGAGGAGGAGGAGGAGGAGGAGGAGGCGGACGATGATCAACATGGAGGCGATAAAACGGACGAGGACGAGGAGGGAATGAAGGCGACCAGGACCATACTGATAAGTGCTGGATGATCATGGGGCGGGAGGAGGAGGAGGAGGAGGAGGAGGAGGAGGAGGGTAGGGGAGCGAGGGAGCGGGATGTGATGTGGACATGAGGGGAGGTGTGAGGGGATAGTGGGGGAGGATGGACGGGGGGGAGGGGAGGAGGAAGGAGGGGCAGGGGCGGATTAGGAGGAGAGTAGGAGGGGAGGATGGGGAGGAGGAGGAGGAGGAGGAGGAGGAGAGGACAGGCAGGAGGATGAGGAGAAGGAAGAGAGGGAGGAATGGAGGCGGTGAAGACGGGGAGATGCCTGGAGAACGTGCTACAAACTTGGCCCAGCCCGTCCCGCTGGGTTCTGGAAAGAAAGAACGACCTCGCTGGCCTCCCCCTTCCTCCTCTTCTTCTGGATTCCCCTGCATTGCTTTCTCCACTAATCCTCTCCTCCTCCTCTTCTTCCTCCTCCTCCTCTTCTTCGTGGAGCCCTCCCCCTTCCTCCTCTTCTTCGTGGAGTTCGTCTTCTGGTGCGTGCGCGTGCTTGTCCACGTCGTCTCGGTGCCCCGCGAGCTCAGGGGACGTGCGCTGTAGTAGCATCCGATATCGATACGCGGCGGGTGTAAGTCCTGCAATTCCTCCGTCTCCTCCTCTGTTCCGCCGCCCTCCTCCGCCCCCTCCTCCTCCTCCTCCTCCTCCTCCTACTCCACCCTCCTCCCGCTCCTCCTCCTCCTCCTCCTCCTCTCTCCTCCTCCTCCTCCTCCTCTTCCTCCTCCTCCTCTCCTTCTCCTGCTTCTCCTCCTCCTCCTCCTCCTCCTCCTCCTCCTCCTCCTCCGCCTCCTCCTCCCGCGCCAGGCGCGGTGTAGGCATGGGCGGGTTGGGCGTTTTTTTCTCCAAGGAGGGCGAAACCATTTGTGCACGAGCAGCAACTGTCTTGATGAATGTTCCACGAGGGCAAGCTGACGCGCAACCTGTGCGCAGGCGGTCGCGGCCCGCCCCTCCTGCTCGCGGTCGGGCCGCGCGCACTGAAAAGGCGCTATCGCTGCATCCCATCGCGTTCTGCGCGAACGTTCTTCCCGATTTCCTGGGGCAGATCACCGCCTGATCTCCTCGTGCGCCACGCCCGCCTGGGCCCGCAGGCAGGAGCGGCGCCGATCCCAATCGGTTGCGCGCGCGCGCGCCATCGGGAATGGAACCGCACATCTCCGGCCAGAAGCCGTCGACGACCTGCGCCCCCTTCTTCGAAGCGATGGTCTCGGTGCGTCCGAATGGACGCACGACGCGGACGCGGTCGACGACGGCCCATTGCTCGGTGCCGTGGGGAACGATGCCGTGAGACAGCTTCAAGTGCTTATACTGGGCGGTGAGGCGCTCTGCGCTGAAACGGGGAGGGACCTCCCCCTCCTGGCTGCAGGCAGCGCGACCCTTCGGGGCGACAGACTGCTGCGCCCTAGCGCCATCAGTTGAAAGCGCGAAGTTGCCAGGCACGAGCACCTGAGAGAGGATGCCGTCACACCCTTGGCCGCTGAGCGACTCGCCGCTCCCCCCAGCAGCACAAGCACGGCCGGGCAGCTCGGAACATATCGCCAGGTGGCGCTGTCCACGAGGCAGCGCGCACAGAAAGCGGTGGCGCAAGAGGCGGCATCGGCCGACCGGGTGGCGGCCGCAGGTCGCGTCCGCGCAGTCATGCGGGCACGCCGCGCGGCAGGCGCCCATGGGCGCCGCATCGGCCTCGACGAGACACCCGCGAGGCCACCACCACCCATCTTGCCCGGCCTTGGCGACGCGAGCGCAGATGCCTCTCGCGATCCCTGCACTGCGATACGTTGAGCTGGTGCCCTCAGAATCCCCGCCTGCACCGTCAGCTCGTGGGAGGACTCATCTCCTGAGGGGTGAGGGGGCGCGGCGTGTGCGATGGCCAGGAGGGCGCGCGCGCGCTGTGTTCACGCTGCCTGCGGGGCTGGGCCTGAACGAAGTTATTCGTTTGCGCGCTGCTGTTTGATGGCTGTCGCGTTGTCTTCGCCTCGACTTTCGGTAGAAACGATGCGAGCGCGAAACCCGCCCGCGAAATCTCCAAACAGCAAAACCCTCTGGCCCAGCCCTGGGCGGCTTTGATGGACGGCTCCTTGAGGCCTTTCGGGTCCGGCTTCGCCCCTCGCAAACTGGCGCGCCCAGGTGGAACGGCGCCAGGCAGGGCAGCCCAAAGGCGGAGGGGTGAAGCCCGCCACCTGGGCGCCCTTCTTTTGGACGCCCGGAATGGGCATGAAAACAGTGGGCCCAATGCCCAGCAGCAAATGCTGTCCCGAGCCAACAGCGGCCGCTGTTTGGCAGGCGGCCTTCTGCCTCAAGTGGGCACAATCCGCGGCGGCGCCGGCAGCGAATCCGCTTCCAAAGGAACAAGAACTGCTGTTGGTCTTTGTACCCATTCTTTCCGTACCCATGTCGGTCGGCCCGACTTCTCCCACTGGCCCGGCCGAAGTTGCAACTCCATGGTGCCGCGCTGGCGCGCGGGGCACTCGCTCTCTCAAGGACTGTTAGAAACGCCGCTCTCGAGCACGGTGCGCGCGAGGCGCTCGGGGCCGACTCGCGCCGGGCCGATCGAGGAAATCCTTGCAGATGCGCGCAGTGCGGCAGCCCGTCAGCGCGCGGGCTGCTTCCTGCGTTGGCCTGGATCGTGGGCTGCTTGCTCGCGCGCCCCCCCTTCGTCGGCGACGCCCGCGAGCGGCCCCGCCGGGGTGGCACTCGAGCTCGTTGCCGCTCGCCGTGGGGGCCGCCTCCTCGAGGGCGAGCTTGGCATCGCCCGCCGCGTCGTCGGCGATCTCGCCCAGCGCGGGCACGCTCGCGGCGGGCGCGCTCGCCGCGGCATGCGAGTGGAGGGCGGGGGCGCGAGCGGTGGCGCGGACTGGCAGACGAGCCAGCGCGTTCTGAGCACGCGCGAGCTGCGGGAGGAGCGGGGTGGGGGCGGGCCCATTCCGTGGATGCCCACCTGTAGCCCTTGCGGGCGCGCAATGAACGCACAAAGCTGGTAACCTTGTTTTTGGTTACACTCGCCGGCTGCCTCTTGCGTGCCCCGTTCGCCCCTTCTGGTTTCCTGACGGGTTCCCTGTGGTCCTTTGTTGTCCCCTTGTTGTCTCCTTGTGCCAGTCTGGCGTTCCCTGCTATCCCCCTCGTGTCCCCTGCTCTTGGCCCGCTTTGTCCCGCGTTGTCCCCTCGCGTCTCCCGGTGTCCCTATGACACCTCTCGCGGTGGCCCCGCGGACTTGGGCGAAGGCCTGGGCCGAAACGAATGGCACGGTGTCCTGCTCAATGCACGAAGATGTTTCGCAAATCTTCCGCGTGGAAGCAATATTCTCGAAGAGCGGAAAGAGGCGGAACGTGCCAGCGGCAACATTTGATCGTCAGCGGGCTGTTTCACATATGGCAGGGGGGGCATCTACTTTTGGATGCCCCCTCCTGCCGAAGGAAAACTGTGGAGGGTGGCGAGGATGGGGATGGCACCCGCAGCGGAGCTGATTTGGGCGAAGGCCCGAACCGAGCAACTGGCATAATGTCCTGCTCAGACACGAGCATGCTTCGCAAATCTTCCCCGTGCAAGAAACATACTCGAAGGGTGGGAAGAAGCGGAACGTGCCAGCAGCAACATTGATCGTCAGCGGGCTGTTCCGCATATGGCAGGGGAAGGTATCCACTTTGGGATGCCCCCTCCTGCCATGGGAGAATGTGGACGAGGACGAGACGGGGAGAACCCCCTTAGTGGGGCGGAACCCGTGACGGTGGCAGAATGGCATGGCAGGAGGGCATCTTTGTTTGGAGGCCCCCTCCTGCCATGGGAGAGTGTGGGGGAGGACGGGAAGGGGGAGGCCCCCGCAGTGTGGCGGAACCCATTGGGGTGCCAGAACTTGTCTGGAAAACCTTTGAAACAGAAAAAACAGCCCCCCCCCCAAGAAAAAACCATCAAACACAACAAACAAGGCTATGACGTATGGCACATGTCCCTTGGACATCACCGGAATTCTACCGATCTCATTTTCTTTTTGGGGGGGGTAGAAGCGTTTTCGGCGAGGTGCTCAAAAACGCCCAAACCGCCCAGGCCTACATCGTGCCTGGCGCCCCTCCTCCTCCCTCCTCCTCCTCTCCTCCTCTCCTCCTCCTCCTCCTCCTCCTCCTCCTCCTCCTCCTCCTCCTCCTCCTCCTCCTCCCCCCCCATCCTCCCCTCCTCCTCCTCTCTCCTCCTCCTCCTCGCTCCTCCTCCTCCTCTCCTCACTCCCTCCTCCTCCTCCTTACTCCTCCTCCTCCTCCCGCCGTCTCCCTCTCTTCCTTCCTCCCCCCCCCCTTCCCCCTCCCCCTCCCGCGCGCGCGGGGGCGGGCGACGACGGCGGTGACGGCGAGCGACGGGCGAGCGACGGCGGACGAACATCGGCGGCGAGCGACGCGCGACGACGGCGAGCGACGAAGGAGCGATAAACGACGACGACGACGAGCGACAAACGACGACGACGACGACGACGACGACGACGACGACGACGACGACGACGACGACGACGACGGCGACGACGGCGACGGCGGCGACGACGACGGCGGCGGCGACGGCGACGACGACGACGACGACGGCGGCCTCGCGCGGGTCCGCCTGGGGCCGCCCTCGCCCGCGAGGCCCGCGTTCGACAGGATCCGCGTCCGGGCCCCGAAGGCGGAGTCCGGGGCCATGGCCTCCCCCGGCGGCGCGGGGCCGAGGAGTCTCGACAAGGGGGGCGGAGGAGGAGGAGGAGAAGGAGGAGGAGGAGGAGGAGGAGGAGGAGGAGGAGGAGGAGGAGGAGGAGGAGGAGGGAGGAGGGAGGAGGAGGAGGAGGAGGAGAGGAGGAGGAGGAGGAGGGAGGAGGAGGGGAGGAGGAGGAGGAGGAGGGGAGGAGGAGGATGAGAGGAGGAGGAAGGAGGAGGAGGAGGAGGGGAGGAGGAGGAGGAGGAGGAGGAGTAGGAGGGGAGAGGAGGAGGAGGAGGAGAGGAGGGAGGAGGAGGAGGAGGAGGAGGAGGAGGAGGAGGAGGAGGGGGGCGAAGGATGACAATAGAAACACTGGAGGTGGAGGTCTCGAGGCCTCCAAGAGCCACCCCAAGAGGCCCCGGGGGAGCCCAAGACGCCGCCGAGGAGCCCCCAAAACGCTCCCAAGAAGCCCCCAAGACTTAAGAGGCCCCCCGGACGGCCCCAAGAGGCCCCAAATGGCGCTCCAGGGCCGGCGGAATGAGCGAAGCGATTAAATAAACACTGGAGGTGCATGCAGAGAGATGGAAGCACTGCTCCAGCATGCGCCAGAAGTCACTCTGGAGAAACTCCTCCCCCTCGAGTAGGGGAACGAAGAGTAACATGAACGTGGAACCTCGGAGGTCCGCGCGGATTTCTGGGATCCGCGCTGGGCCCCCTAGCGGCGCCTCTGGCGCCGCCCCTGGCGCGCTCCGCGCGCCAGGGAGGGGGGTCCATCGCGGATCCGAGAAATTCGCGCGGATCTCATAGTTTTTATGTTTATGGCATTCTTCGTTCCCCTACTCGAGGGGGAGGAGCTGCTCCGGAGTAACTTCCGGCGCATGCTGGAGCAGTGCTTCCATCTCTCTGCGTGCCCACGATCGGTAGCCAGCTTGGCTCGAAAGGGCCCCGCAGGGGGCGAAGCGTCGGCCCGATACTGCCAACATGCTCGCATCATACTGCTTCCATCGCCCGGCTTGATTGTCTGAACTTGATCGGCGAGGGGGAGGGGCGAGGACGGGGTGGGCGATGGGGGAGACGCGAGAACGAGGCTGGGCGAGGGGGGCGGGCGAGGAGGAGTGGCGAGATGGGGGGGGAGGAGGTGCGAGGAGGGGCGAGGACGGCGGCGGCGACGTCGACGGCGGCAGCGACGCAAGGGCGCAAGAGAGAGAGGAGTCCTTGTGGCTGACGAGGCACCCCTCCATGTGCATCGTGTCGTCTACCGCCTTGAGGACGTTCGGGATGTCCTCCGTCTGGACGACCCCGCGCAGCACGAATCCCGAGAAGACGTCCATCACGTCCGCCTTCCTCCGCACCTCGGCGGAGCGCCGAGCTTTCCCCCCGTCGGCCAGCAGCGTGGACCGAGTCGCGCTGCGACTGAGAGAAGCTGCCTGTCTGGTCGTCCTGGGCCTCCCTCCTCCAAGGCCGCCCCTGTGGCCACGACTGGGCGCAGCCAACGCAGTGGGCCAGGATGGATCCCGAGGCCGATCGGCATCGAATCGGGAAGTCAGATCACATCGTTCTTGTTGGACGAAGAAGCTGCCTGTCTGGTCGTCCTGGGTCTCCCTCTGGGGGCGCCCTTGACGCCACGGCTGGGCACAACTAAAAGAGCTGGCCGAGATGGACCCCGAGATCCATCGGCATCGAACCGGGAAGTCAGAGCACACCGCTATGGCTGACGCATCGGGCCGCACCGGCACGGGGCCAGCATCGCATCCGATCGGCCGCGCCGGGACGCACGGCGGCGCCGTGCAAGCACGGGGCCGCATCGGACCCGCGGAGTGTGCCGGGAAGGGAAGCGCTCCCGAGGGAAGTGGGCCCTCGCCATCGCTCGGACGTCCATTCCCTGTGCATTCTTCGGTTTCGTGCGTGGTTTTTTCGCCAAATGATCAAGGATGCTCCTCGATGGTCCTCGCCGAAGGAAAAATGCACACGTCCGAGCGATGCCAAGGGGCCCCGGACCCCGGGTCGTTGCCCGGGGACCGATTCTTCCTGCCGAGTCGCTTTGTGACCGCCCAGAGGCCCGTGAGCGAAAAAAATCCGGAGCCAGATCCTCCTCCTCCTCCTCCTCCTCCTCCTCCTCCTCCTCCTCCTCCTCCTCCTCCTTCTCTCTTTCGCCAACGCAGCGGGACTGAAGCTGTTCCTCCCTGGACCCCAGCCGACCATTCGCTTGCACGGGAGGGGGGTTGGATGAGGCCCGAAGGGAGATCTGGACTTCACGAGAGTCGAAAAAACTGGGTCTCTTGGGAACCTCGCCTGACCTCCTCTGGCATGAATAGGGGGCCACATGCGAACCCTACCCCTACCCCCCACGATTTCTGAGGGGGAGGCTGCGGCTCACTTTGCTCGGGAGCTCCCGAACGAAGTGAACCCCATCCTCCCCCTGAGACATCGTGGGGGCTAGGGGTAGGGTTAGGTCGGGCCTGTCCCCCTGCAGGGGGATTGTGGGCGAAGAATTGAACATACTCAAAAGAAATACCCCCAACATGCTCAACAGTAGTCAAAACATCGTCCCCATACTATGTTTTGTGTGTGACTATTTTCGAAATTTCCTCCTGCAGGGGGACACGCCCGTCTGAAGGGTAGGGTTCGCACGTGGCCCCCTGATTTGAGCAGGGATCGACCGTCCCGGCATTCCTATAGTCAAACCACGAAATGTTCTTGGAACCCGAAACTGTTTGAATAACAAAAGCAATGTTCTTAGAACATAAACCCGATGTGTTGAAACGAGACAGTCCCAGCCAGAAAGGTTCTAAGGGTATTTCGTGGGAGCCGCAAAAGGTTCTCAGAACAGTGTTCGGTAGGGCTATAGGCGAGCCAGGACGCTTCGCCACTGCTTGACTGATGAAGCACACGGGGCCGGAGGGAAGCCGGTCCCGACCTGTGTCGTGGCTTCTTCTCCAGGCTCCGGGGGCTCTCCTCGGCCCCCCCCCGGGGGCTGCCAGGAGACAGCTCCAGGAGCCGAGAGGGGCCCCGCCCCTAGAGCCAATGCGTAGCTCCCGCGTTGTGCAGGGCAGTTTTGAACACATAGGACTTTCATAAAAATATAGGATTTTCAAAGACAGGATTAATCTATGAATAAATTAATGCATGAACTCATCGTTGCTTTTAAAACTAAATCCCTGCACTTTTGACTCATGATCCGCACGCGGAGCATGTATAAAAAAACGGCACTGAATGCGTAACTCCCGCGTTGTACGTGTGCGCTCACGGATTTGCCCTCTCCTGGGGCACGGCTGCATGGCTTCGCGTATGCTTTTGGGATGTGGCCGCACGCCCTCGCATCGGGCTCGAGTGTGCTCGCGTGGCGCTCGCGCGCGGGACCCGTGGAGGGCTGCAGGAGCTCAGCTGTGATCGACAACGAGGGGGGCACTTTTTGTTGTTCGGTGCTGTTTTTTGCCCCCCCCCCCCTCCCCGTTGTCCGCTTTTCGCTCTTGCCTCGACCGCGACGTTCCAACAGCGGCACCCTGAGATGTGGACGTCAGGCAGGCGGCACTGTGGTACCTGAAGACGTATTCAGGACATTCTGCGAACGCGAAGAAAACGAGCCGATCTGGGGCCTGAAAATATGGCAAAACGGCGCCCAAAACTGACGGGAGACGTCCATCTTGAGAACGGAATAAAACGCACCCAGCGCTAAGATCATCGAAGCCCTGGAGTCCGAGCGCGGCCACACAACGTCGGGACCCCGTTCCACCCGTTGCCTGAAGCAGTACAGCATCAGCCAGAAGTGCTCTGAGAGCATCTCGTGCTCACCACAAGGATGTTCTCAGAACAATCTTCGGTGGGCCTCCAGGCGAGCCAGGACGCTTCGCCACCGCTTCAATGGAGGGCCCCGGAGGAGGAGGAGGGGGAGCTGGAGGTGGAGGAGGAGGAGAAGGCGAGGAGGAGGAGGAGGAGGGGGGCGAGGAGGAGGAGGAGGAGGTGGAGGAGGAGGAGGTGGAGGGGGAGGAGGAGGAAGTGGAGGAGGAGGAGGAGGAGGAGGCGGAGGAGCAGGAGCCCGAGTAGGGAGTGCGAATCGCCTCGGCGGTTTCCCCCCCCGGGTAACACACCGGTGTCCCGGTCTGCTCGCGGCGGCGTCGCAGCCAGGGCCTCCTCATCCTGCTCCTCCTCCTCTCCTCCTCGTCCTCCTTCTCTCCTCCTCGATTGGAGAGCCTTACCACCGATGCCACGCACCGCTCGGAAGAGGTCTGGGCGCGAGGCCCACAGCTTTGCGTGTCACGGAAACACTGACATTTCAGCAGCGTGGCGACCCATCTCATCATAATCATCATATTTCCTTCATTCATCATCATCATCATCACATCTTCTTCATCATCATCATCTTCATCATCCTCATCATCATCATCATCAGCATCAGCATCAGCTATCAGCATCATCAGCATCATCATCATCATCATCATGCATGGAATCATCCATCACCACATCATCATCATCATCATCATCAGCACCATCATCAGCATCAGCATCAACATCAGCATCATCATCACCATCGCCATCATCATCATCATCATCATCATCGTCATCAGCATCAGCAGCATCATCATCATCATCCTCATCATCATGACCATCATCGCCATCATCATCATCATCGTCATCATCATCATCAGCATCATCATCACCACCACCATCACAATCAGCATCATCATCATCATCAACAGCATCATCATGATCATGATAATCACTATCATAAACATCACCACCAACCATCAACATCAACAACATCACAACCATCATCAACACCATCACCATCAACATCACCACCATCATCATCAGCATCAGGATCACCATCATCATCATCGCCATCATCATCAGCATCGCTATCAACATCATCATCACCATCGTCACCATCGCTATCACCATTATCACCAGCATCATCATCATCATCATCATCATCATCCTCGTCATCGCCATCGTCATCGACATCGTCGTCATCATCATTCTTATCATGGTTGTTATTATCATTATTATTAGTGTTGTTATTATTAGTGTTAGCATCGTCATCATCATCATCATGCTAATCACCATCACATCACCAGCATGAACATCAGCACCAGCACCATCAACATCAACATCAACATCAACACCATCAGCATCATCACCATCATCATCAACAACAACATCAGCATTATCATTATCAGTATCAGTATCATTATCATTCTCATTATCATCATCATCATCATCAACATCATCGTCATCGTCATCATCATCATCATCATCATCATCATCATCATCATCATCATCATCATCATCATCATCATCATCATCATCATCATCGTCATCATCTTTCGCGCGCAACCCCTGCCACCATCTCCCGCCGGCCCCGCTCGAAATCCGCCCAGCTGTGGAAGTTCTGGTAGAGCTCCTGGGTGGCAGCATCCGAGCCCTACCCCCACGAACCGTCGGTTCTCCCGAATCGATGGGAGGTGGGGGGTGGGGGCAGGGTTCGGAATTCGCCAGGTGTTCGATGAATTCTGAGGAGGAGGAGGAGGAGGAGGAGGAGGAGGAGGAGGAGGAGGAGGAGGAGGAGGAGGAGGAGGAGGAGGCTGAGGGCGGCGAGGGGCCAGGAGGGGCCAGACGGAGAGGAGACCGAGGCACCCCCGGGGTGAGAGCGCCGACGGGGCGCAGGAGCAGAAGGCCGAGGCTGGCGGCGAGGGAGCGCTGAGGAGGAGGTGGAGGAGGAGGAGCACGCGGAGAAGGAAGAGGAGGAGGAAACAGAGGGCGAAGAGACGCAGGCTGCGGCGGCGGAGCCCTGGGAGCGCCGAGGAGGAGGAAGAGGAGACAGCCCGGGCCGCCGCCCCCGCTGCCGCCCCCGCCGCTGCCTCGCCGCCGCCCCCGCCACCGACCGGCTGAGGGGGCCGGTGGACGGGGGGCCCTCCCAGGGCCCCCCGCGGCCGGCGCGAGCGCCGGTCCGCAGGGAGCGCTCGCCGAGTGCCCCGGGGGTCCCATCGGACTCGGGGAC